TAAATTTTTTTTATTTTAAAACCAAAACACCAAAGTTTTAAAAAAATTTTTAAAAAAAAAAAAAAAAAAAAAAAAAGAAGAAGAATCTGAAAAGCATGGTGTGCACAAATGGAGTTAATCTGTGTTTAAATGAAACATTTGTGAGAAAAAAATTAGTGAGCAAATAGCATCACAAAGACCAAAAAGCAGAGCAGATAAGTCAGGACAAAGTCGTGCAGAACATTAAACTTTTCACAGATCATTCAACACATCATCTGAAAATGAAAAGAATATGGCACAATTTCAAGAGCGTCAGGAAAGTCATGAAGAACACCATAAGGAATTTGCAAGTAGACGCTACAAACGTGTGGTGCTCTAATCAGATGAGGTCAACATTTTTACTTTTTGGCTGATATTAAAATGCTGACAGTAAAACATGGTGGTGGCAGCATTATGCTGTGGGGGGTTCTTTTGTTCAGGACGGGTGGGGGCCTCAGAAGTCACTGACTGTACTAGAATTTATTTAGGAATATCACTGTAAATGAGATTTAAAATCCAAAAAGTCAAACTTTTCAGATTTTCATTTGTAAAAGATTTTGAAAATTATGTTTCCATTTTTTCTAGTTTGTCATGATAATCTAATTTGCTGGTGTATGGAAAAAAAAATTGACAACAACTCCTTAAATAGTATTTCCGCTCTTACAATACATTCCTGCTTGTAACGTGACAAAAAATGTAGAACAGTTAAAGAGGCATGAATACTTTAGTATGGCACTGTATTCTTCCTTGCTTTTTGCTTCAAAGCTAGCCAACGGAAGAAAAGCTAGACAGAAAATTACGTCAGGATTAGCTTTTTCTGTCAGAGGCTAAAGGAATGATGAGATTGTCAAGAGGTCATCAGGGTTGGCATCTAAATTTTAAGATCATTCTCTGAACCGTTAGGGTTTTGATCTAAGATGTAAGCAAAAAGTTAAACACGCTTTGCCCTGACGGTGTTGCAGAAACTTGCATGACACCAGCTGCTGAACTCAAAGAGCCCCTGCATGTTGAAGTCAGACAATGGTTTTCATTTAGAGCTGCATGTCATAAGGTCTGCATGATCAAAGAAAGCAAAAAAAAAAAAAAAAACGACCTAAAAAAACACACAGAGTAACTTAAAAACGCTTCTCATTCAAAGCAAAGCAGTGTGCATGTGTTATTTTTCTTCCATTATTACGCCTTTAACTCCCCCGACAAATACCGCTCAACCATTTTAATCTGACATGGAGATGCTCTGCACATGAATTTCCTTATTTAAATTTATCCGCATGTCTGAATCGCGTGGTGTTCTGAGCTGCATCCCAGCTTGGTTGGTTTTCCTCGAAAATGAATTATTCTTTCCTGTGTTTTTGCTGACGGAGCCCATATGTGTGTTTTCATACCGTTTGATCCGAGTGTCTCTCTATCAATGTTGATGTTTATAAATGTTTTTTAAATGTTTTTTTCTGATGCTGTAACCATCATGTTTGTCAGTGTGCTTGCTTGGCTCCAGAGGAGACACACACCAGAAAAAACCCCAAGTCTTAGTTACAAACAGCACTAAACAGATTAGATAACATCGTGTAATAAGTTTGGATCAATTATTTATGTGTGCTGCTCTAAAGGGTTTTATCCTATAACGACTAAAAGCGACTGGTGTGGAGTTGATTTGTTTGCAGCCACCAGTCTTTGAATAAGATGCCATTTTTTTTTGTTGTGTGTCTCCTGGCCTGTTTTGTCTCTGCTCACGAAAGCACTAATGTCTTGTTTTCAACCAATCGCTCATTGGTAACACGGACCGCACGAGAGTCCACGCTCCAGTAAGTAACACTGTCTGTTCAGCTCTCTGACTCTCTCACTCACCTGTGCTTGATCTGCTAAACCGAGTCCCTCAGTCAGTCATCTGTCCATGCTCTGTCCTATGCTGTCCTGTCCACCTCTCCGACCTGATTTCAGACCATAAAAATGTCTCGAATCAACTCAGCCAATTTCATTCTGCATCGCTCTGTTTATTTATGTTATTACAGTCACAGAGTCATGGAGGCCAGGAACCGACAACCCCACTATAAATATTTTACATGTTTTCTTTTAATTGTTGTCCTCTGCTAATGAGGAAAAAACATCTCACTGACATGAGAAAAAGAATCATTTTCTTGTCGTAACAAATTATTTGCTCGGAGGAAATTGCATTAATGCACACAAAATGCACAAAAACAACTTGGTTTGGTGCAAAATTTCAGCTCAAATCCATTTGTTATTCCAAAGTTAGAATGACAGTTCATCTACACACATAAACAAACACAAGCGATAACTATTTGCCCCAACAATCTAAATACTTATCAATTAAACGAAACAGAGGACCAAAGAGACAGAAATTTAAGGATTCAAGGATTATTTTTTTTTATTGTCATACCACATTTTCTTGTTTGTGGTACAAAATTCAGACTCAAATTAAGAAATTTAATACACAAATAAGATAAATAAACAAACAAAGTAATAAATTAAGTAATATTTTTTAAAAAAGTGTGTGTTTTTAAGATGCTACATCGATAACATCTAGCTGTGAAGGGGGATATCGTTTTTTATTTGTTTTTTTTATAATGAGATGTTGATTTTCGCTTTTTGTGTTAAAGTATTTTATTCTTTTTCCAGAAAACAGCAAAACATGAAAAATAATATAGTGGAGACATAAATCTTCAGCTTCCACACCCAACTAGTCCTGGACTTGTACATTTCCCACTGTAAATGATTTTGTGCTGAAGCAAAAATAACTCTTTGGTTCCAACAAACGTACTAACATTCAGCTTACATGTTTAATTTAATATTTATATATCATTTAACAAAAACTACGGTGACACTTCCCTCACATCAACTTGTTGGTAAAAACACTGCATGCAAGCCTGTGTCTGACTAGTATCAAGGTGAATCAAATTGTCTAGTATGTCATGGACGAAATTATAAAGTTGTGGTTCTATTAAACATCTTAAATGCCGGTTTGATTCCATTTGTATTGATCATATGTCTTGTCTAATTCTTCCCAGGGGAAGCCGGAGGAGGCGGCCCTACCTGTACAGGAAAAGAGCCATTCACCGCAGCCGGCCGACCTACTCCTACTCCCTGGAGGAGGCCCAGGGCGGTATGAGGGAGGGCCGCCCACCGCCACCACTCAAATCCTCTAACTCTTTCATGTCCAGGAGGGAGAGGAGGAAAAGGATGACCATGTCTGTTTGGGAGCAGAGGACCAGCCAGCTGCGGAGACACCGGCAGATGTCCAGCCGAGAGATCTTGTTCAGCAGTCCCAGTGAGGAAAAAGACGGCCCCCCTGCTTCAGTTCACGGACGTCCCTTGTCGCTGCACCAGAAAGCCGTGCAGCACACGCCATCCGGGAGCGTGAAGCAGCCGACTGACCCTCTGGCCTCACCGGCTCAGAGCCAGCCCCCGGGCTCCTCTGCGCCCCTGGATGCCGCTGTTCCTGGTGACGTTCCTGAGCCTCCTATGGCAGTGCTGGAATCAGAGTGTCTGGATCCTACAAACGCACCGTGCCTGACCTTACCAGAACCTCCCGAATCCAAATCCACCGGGGAAAACAAAAAGCCGGGCCTTGGCCACAAACACGTCTCCGAGCGCCGAAGCCCGAGACTGAATGTGGAACGTCAACACAGGCATGTGAAAAAGTTCAGACCTCCAGATAACGTTGACTCTCTGACCCCTGAGAAAGGAGGTCACATTGAGATCAGGGGCCGAAGGGGCCATCATTGTGACCATCGGAACGGCACCAGAAATCAAGCGTCCTCTCCTGGAAATGAGGGAAAGTTAGATGGCAGCTGTGATGTTGGAGAAAGCAGAACGAGTTCGGAAACAGTCGAGGAGAAGGGAGCACAGCCTGAGAACGAAGACGGAGAGCTGCACGAGCAGAGCAGGTGAGATGATCAGTGACTGATGCGTTTAAGCTTGTTTGGTGGGAGAAATGTTCAGAGCGATGGCCATCGCTTAGAAAAAAATCCATCATATTACCTCATATTGTTCCTGAAACCATCCACCAACAAGTCCGTTTATTTCTAAATTATATTGTATGAAAATCTAAATGACAGAGGATGCAGATATTTTTACATTCATTTTATGACGGATCGTATGAACCACGATAAGTTATTTTGTTTCTTTAATAAAGTACAAAATTTCATGCATCTAAACAAACCACCTTCATCCCTCTAAAGTAAGAATCTTCAGATGAGAGATGAGCTGAAAAATGTTTATTAAATGTCATATGAGCAATTATTTATTTGCATTAATTAACTCTTAACTACAAACTCTACATTCAGCTTGAAACGAGTGTCTGGCAATAGACAAACCTTTCTTTTCATCTGCTGAATAAAACCAAATTGCTGTAGTTGCCGGTTTTACTTTTCTCTCCTGCTTTGCTGCCATAATGCTCTTCCTCGTGACTTTTATTGAAATGCCAACACCAGAATGTGGGTTGTTGCACATCAGTGCACATACCGTTCCACTCTTGTGTTTGTCTTGTTGTGACTACAGACTGGCTAACCGTAACGAGGGAGACGTCCTCTTTGGTGACCTCTGCCCTCTGAAGCAAGACAACGCTCTGAACCAGTCTGAGCTGCTGGTACCCAACAAACCAGAGGATGGCAATGAAGAAAAGGAGTCGGAGCTGGACCACAATAAGCTCAGCTCCAGTGTCGTCGTCGAGGTGCCTGACTTGCAGTCGTCTCTTGAACTCTCCACCATCACAGGTAGGAGCGCACTGTGTTGCTTTCAGATGATGAAGAGTTCCTTTGTTTTGCTGCTTGGAAATATATATATTTTTTTAAAACGTCTTTTTTCTGATATGTTAAAATAATTAAGTAAAACTGATGGAATGAATGGCAGATTAGTGGTTAGATCCCTTTATTTTATTTCAAGAACCTGGTGATCTGATTTAGCCACATTTTGGCCAAAAGGAAGTTTTATTTCTCCAGGACCCGTGTCAGGTCTTCAGTACTGCACGCAGTTTTATTCAGCTCAAGAAAACCTCCCAAATGGGAAAAAGTAGTGAGAGGATGAACTTAATTTTCTTATTTTGACCTTCTCTAGTCAACAACAAGGACTCTGAAACCTGCAAGTCAGAGAAGGAAGAGGAAGAAGAGACGAAACCTGTCAACACTGTGATCCCAGACAGCATGTTCATCTTCAAACCTGACAACCCGTGAGCTACAAGTTCGATCATTTTGGTTTTGGATTAGAAATAGTGCTGCTTTTAAAAAAAATGTATTTTTTTTTTTTTTTTTTTTAAGAAAGACTTATAAATTGTTCAGGAAATAATCAAGCATCAAATAAACATGTCTGACTTTGAAGGGTTAATTGAGAAGGTTGATAAAGCTGGTGATTGGACAGAGGCCACAGAGTGTTAATTGGTTGCTTAGCAACTTGGCAGCGAACATAATTCCTGGTAAATAGGCAGAGCTGAATCAGTGAGTGAATTATTTACCTAAATATCTGATAACAAAGTTATCATCATCACTGTCATCTTGTATAATACATGTTGATTCTTTTTAAACTATATATTTGTCTCTTTAATTCTGCTGTTCCTGTTGAGTTCCCATGCTCCCTATTAGCTAAAGGTGTTGATTCACTCTAACAGTCTCCTCTTTTTCCCACCAGGATGCGTCGAGCATGTCATTATGTGGTGAACCTCAGGTACTTTGAAATGTGCATCCTGCTGGTGATAGCTGCTAGTAGCATAGCGCTGGCTGCAGAAGACCCCGTAGCCACATCATCAGACTGGAATAAGGTTCGAGACACTTCAGTGCAAACATCTGCTTTGTGAGACACCCTGAAGATTTTATATGGATCCAATAGTTCTTTTAGTTGAAATATATTAACACATAATTTGTAATACTTTCAATATTGTTAGGTGTGTTTGTAAGGGAAACATTGGAAAATAGATGGCATGTTAATTAAAAAGAAGTCACCAGAAACTTCTGCTTGTACTAGCATGCCAACAACGATATTTGATTGGCTGTATTAGTGCCAGAGCTTTGTGAGGTTTGTTTATGGTAGGACAACTCTGAAAAATAGATCTGAAGTTTACTCTGTGTTTAGCTTCAAAGCGAGTTACGACTTTTAAGATGAGCAATGAGATTGTGAAGAGAAACACTGCAGGGAGACATAAACTTGGTGTTTATGCTTTTTGCTCCAAATCTGATTCTAAACATCCGTATTTTGAACTAGGTGGTGAAGAGAAACCAAAGAAATGGCTGAAATTAGGAATTCATATCCTACTGATTATATACGATGATCAGAATATTGTGAGGAAAATTGACATAATTAATGTATTCAAGAAAAAAAAATATTTTAAAAATGTCCAAACTGAGGTTGTTAGCTGGGCTTATATTATTAACTTGAATTAAAATGTTCCTGATAATCTTTTCATCTGTTGTCATCTTTGTCTGACTTTTACAGGTTCTACGTTACTTTGACTATGTGTTCACCGGAGTCTTTACCTTTGAAATGATCATAAAGGTGAGCAAGTTAATATTTTAAAATTTAATTTGTCTGGGCAAAATTAGGCTAAATTGTCTTAGTAACTTAAAAAGTGAGTCTAAGAAACAAATCAAATCCCATTCAGCTTTTGGCTAAAAAATCACCAAGATCTCATGTGATGTGACTGTGTGTGGTCTTTAGATGATTCACCAGGGTCTGATCCTCCATGACGGCTCCTACTTCAGAGATCTGTGGAACATCTTGGACTTCATCGTTGTGGTGGGAGCACTGGTGGCCTTTGCCCTCACGTAAGTCGCATGATCTAGTCCTGTACTCGTCCTGAGTTAACCGGCTTTGTTTACATGTCTTTGAGGAGGTTGTACATTATTATTGCTTTATATGAAGTTAGGCAAGAAAGTCACGAATGCAAAACTCCTTTCTAAAGCTGATGAGCATCAGCTCTTCGTCGAATGTGCCTGGAACGCCTTATATGATCGTCCTGCCAATTGGTTTTTGATGCATCTCTGAAGACATTTGAGAAATACTCCTGACATTTGACAATTTTATCTAGTGAACAGACCAACCCTTGCTCTGACTGTATTTATAAATACATGTATAAATGTGTAAAGAAGAAACGTTTTCATTATCGTATGTAAACCAAGTATTTAAAATTTCCGACTAGCTTTCTGAACATACAATACAAACAAACCAGCATAATGTGAATAATTTTAAACCACATTAAGTTCTGCACAAAGACATTTTTGCTTCTTTCTATTTATTAATTGCTTGGTAACTGTAGCTGTGTAATTAATCCACTGTTGTTTTTCTCTTTCTTTGACGATGCCCTCTGTGGGACCGACCCATAGCAACGTGATGGGGTAAAAGTAACTTTTAGCAAATAATTTTGTGCAGACACTGGCTTTTACAAGTTGAGACAAGCGTTAGTAGCTGAAATGTTTGCGTAACACAGAGGTTGTGTGATAACAATGCGTTTTTCTGCTCAGAAACAACAAAGGGCGAGACATAAAGACCATCAAATCTCTGAGAGTGCTGCGTGTCCTCAGACCTCTGAAGACCATCAAACGACTTCCTAAGCTCAAGGTTAGATTGGGCCTGTCTTTGTTTGTGCTGTTAGTTAGACCTGTTCGATTTATTCATGTCCAATTAGATTAATTCAACAGGAAAACATTGATAAAAAGTATACAAAATTGCAAACACACACCAGCTCTTATCCTATTCTGCATATTTATCTTTAAAAAGTTGAAAGAGATTTTGGCTAAATCATTCAGTATGGATGTATTTCTAACATATAGAAAAATATTTACATATCAATAAACCTATTCAGTTTAGCCAAATTAACAAACAAGAATTAAAGCTGCATAAAAAAGAGAAAACTATTTGCCGCACAATATTTATTCTTTATTTACTCAAAATTTTACATTTTCAATCATTGGATGGGTTGCTTATTTTCAGCCAATTGTGGGAAAAAAAACAAATATGTTAAAATGGTCAGATGGAGTGGAGTATAAAGGCATTGTTAATAACTCCTTTATTTTTTGTTTTTACCAATCACTTTAACAGTGTAGTTATTTTTGCGGTTTTGTGTCTTGTAGCCATTTCTTTACTGTTTAATTTGTGTTTTTTAATGTTATAAAGTGTCCTTGGGTGTTTTGACAGATGCTGACAAATAAAATGCTTCATTATTATTTATTTATTTATTTATTTATTTATTTATTTATTTATTTATTTTCTGAATTTTAAGCTTATATATTTAAAATCAGGTCAGATGTTTGAGTTTTGCTGTCTACTATTGAGGCGGACCTATGAATGAAAAACATTGAAATGATGATTTAAAAAAAAGGCATTAAGACACAAGTCAAATATGTGAAATACGATGAAAATAGGTTGTCAGCCTCTGCAACTCTGAACCAAAGTTCATCCTTGATCTGAATGTTTTTTGCATCTCTTTCCCTTTTCTTTCAGGCGGTGTTTGACTGTGTGGTGACGTCTCTGAAAAACGTCTTCAACATTTTGATTGTCTACAAGCTTTTCATGTTCATCTTCGCCGTCATCGCTGTGCAGCTTTTCAAGGGGAAGTTCTTCTATTGCACCGACAGTTCAAAGGACACGGAGAAAGACTGCCAGTAATCATAGTTTAGATTCTTCCTCTTTACATCCAAATTTCCAATTTACTAATTGCGATTTCTTTATCGTTATATTTTCTGATTTTCAATAACATTGGATGTTTACGGCTCTGTGCCTACTCTCTCTTTTTTTTTGTACATTTTAGTACATTTCTACTCCAGTTTCGATGAGAAGCTCAACTATTTTGTTCTCTATCTTTAGGGGTTACTACATCGACTATGGGAAGGATAAAAAAGAGGTGAAAAAGAGAGACTGGAAGAGGCACGAGTTTCATTACGACAACGTCATCTGGGCTCTGCTCACACTCTTCACTGTTTCCACCGGAGAGGGCTGGCCTCAGTGAGTGATCCACTGGATTCTGGCCAATTCATGAGAAAATTCACAAAGAGCAATCCCACACATCACTTTTCTCTACTAAGCAGGCCGATGTGTTGTAACCTTAATAATCTGGGACATGTTTTTATTAACAATTAAACATGGCTTTGACTATGAAAATATGAGCAGTCGTTCTCAAACTTGTTTCTAACTTGCTTCGAGTTGGAAGCAAGTTAGAACAAAAATGTCACAAATAGATAAAAAATATATTGGAAAATCTAGTTACAGTTTACTCAGTGTGAAACTTGTGCCTGTTTAATTCAACATAAAGAGAAAATTTGTGCAGGAGTTGAAGAACATCGCACAAGATCTTCCTCAACAGCTCCGAGTCTCTATTTTCTCTATTAACCAAGAAATCATTACTGTTTAAACTTTACCTTTAATAACATAAAGTTACCTGATTTTTAAAATGCAATCAGTAATTCTTTTATAACAAATTTATATCAGTAATGATTTCCTGGTTAATGTCAAGTTGTCATAACAAAGACATTTTGAATAATGTCAACTTTGTATTAAAAGTGTCATAATTTACCGAATGACGCTTTATGACAACAGCCATAAATATTCATGAAGGCTTATTCATGTTCATGACTTGTGTTATGTCATGTTTATGACAGTGTCATGTCAGTCTTATTCAACCCCCTTCAAATAAAGTGTTACCGTAAGCGGTTCTTCTTTCTGCAGGGTTCTGCAGCACTCTGTAGATGTGACAGAAGAAGACAGGGGTCCAAGTCACGGCAACAGGATGGAAATGTCAATCTTCTACGTCATCTACTTTGTTGTCTTCCCCTTCTTCTTCGTCAACATCTTCGTGGCTCTCATCATCATCACCTTCCAAGAGCAGGGCGATAAGATGATGGAGGAGTGCAGCCTCGAGAAAAATGAAGTGAGCTTTCTGACATGCAAATGCTAACTTCAAGTCTTGTATGGGGTTTTTTTTCTCTCTCTGTCAACACTTCTCTTTGTCCTGGATTTCAGAGAGCGTGCATTGACTTTGCCATCAGCGCGAAGCCCCTGACTCGATACATGCCACAGAACCGGCACACGTTCCAGTACCGTCTGTGGCATTTTGTGGTGTCCCCATCATTTGAGTATACAGTCTTGACCATGATTGCTCTCAACACAATTGTCCTGATGATGAAGGTGAGCATAGAAAATAACAAGCGATTCCTTTCTAAAATGAAGCCTCAGTCGTCAAAGTTACTTGTGGGGTGCTGATATTGATGGGTGTCAGTATAGATTCAGAGAAAAATACCCAACTGTGCCAAAGATAGAGAAAATAAAGCAGCAACTACGGGTAATCATTTTTGCGGTGACAAATTGTTGGCTAAGAAGTTATTTAAATATTTGTAATGTTTTAATATTTAATAATTAGTGGTGTTCGCAAGGCTCTGTCCTGGGACCCAAGTTGTTTACTATTTAAATTATGTATTTACTGCAGAAAATCTGGTTAAACTTTAAGTGTTTTTGGAGAATACAAGATTTATCTCATCAGCATTTGGCACAACTTTAGTCAAAACGGTAGTAAGACAATCGTTCAGTCATAAAGTGGTTTTAATATCATGTTATGGAATAACAAAGAAGCTTCTACATTTATGGTGCAAGATGGATTTTTGATGTAATCAGTTAAAATCTGTTCATATTGGAAGAGCATCCAACAAATTTATTTTGTTACAACGGTTCACACTTTGTAACTTCACGTTGCATCTTGGAAAAACAGTTAAAACTATTGGATGACACATGTTTATGTTGCTCTTTATGTTGAACAACAATATGTCTTCTTCCTTTTTCAGCCGAATAAAATAGATTACAATGCAAGATGATTACTAAAATTCAATTGATATCAACTGAGAACTAACACGTGAAGCAATTTTTGGTTACAATGCAATTAGATAACAGATTTGGCCTGTAAACATTTTTAATCTGGTTAAATTGTGTAATATGAATTAAGGTTTTGGGGGTTTATGGTTGATTTCCTACACAACTTGTGGACTGAAGCAGGATACGCGTTAATGAGCTCTGTCTTCATCTCGTTATGAGCTGTAAAGTGGTCCCTTTGATATTTGTTTATTTCTGTAAACCCTTTCATCATTTAAGCCTTTCTTTGAAAGAAATCAAAGAACAGAGTTATTTTATTCCATTTTTTAAATTAAATCAGAACACAGCTTTGGCAATACATGAAGGGACGTCTTATTCTTTTCTCTTTCTGTCCCGACTCCTTACAATAAACTTCCCACGGTTGGCACTTAGGTTTCCAGAAAATCGACAAACTTGTATGTTTTGGTGTCAGAGTATCACCTCAGCACATTGCGATAATTGCATTTGGACCGGCTGACTGATGTTTACTCCCACACTTCCCTCATCACTATTTATTTCCTGCTCTGGCCTTTTCCTGAGCCCCTCAGACACACAGACAGACAAACGCTCCGTGACTCAGCCTCTATTAAATATTGATCTATAATGTCCAGGCGCTGCTATTTAACATGACCTCATTAACTGTGGCTGCCGGCCCCCGGAGGAATGACTCCTTTTATAGCGCCTCAGATGAGAGGTGCAGAGACATAGGCGCTATTTATGGGTCTGGAGGAATCTTCCATCAAACTGTAGATCTGCAGGGTGCATGGCTGGAGTTCACCCAGATATCAGTGGGAACGTTGAGCTGCGGTGAATTGGCTTGGGAATACTCCAGCTTTGTCTTCTTTGTTGTACAAACAAGACTTGAATTATAGATTAAGACCTCTGTCTTTTCTTGTGTGCTTGCAGTATTACTCTGCCCCGCCTGCATACGACGCCTTCCTGAAGCATCTAAACACAGCTTTTACTGTGCTCTTCTCGATCGAGTGCGTTCTGAAGATCCTGGCTTTTGGTTTTCTGGTGAGAGAAAAGAACGACAGTGTAGCCTGACGTAAAATTTATGAAGCTTTCTGTGCAAAAGCCTCATCGCCTTGATTTCTCTTTCGAAAGAACTACTTCCGAGACACTTGGAACATTTTTGACTTCATCACCGTCCTGGGCAGCATAACTGAGATTGTGGTTGACTTGCAGGTGACCTCATTATGCCTTGTAGTTTAAGAGTCAGATACATGTCGTGTTTGTGCTGATAACAGGTTGTCTCCTCTTTCCTTTGCGCCGCTGCCAGAGGATTGACACGTTCAACATGAGTTTCTTGAAGCTGTTTCGAGCCGCTCGTCTGATCAAGCTGCTGAGGCAGGGTTACACCATCCGCATCCTCCTCTGGACTTTTGTTCAGTCCTTCAAGGCGCTGCCTTATGTCTGCCTGCTCATTGCAATGCTCTTCTTCATCTACGCCATCATTGGCATGCAGGTCAGAAGTAAACAGGCTTTATCGAATGTCTGCCAACGAATCACAATTTCATGCTAAAGTAAAATGGGAGAGTTTATATAACATCTCATGAATTTCAATGATCTCCTTGTCTTTTGTGTGTTTATGTTTAAACCAGGTGTTTGGGAACATTAAACTGAATGAAGAGACTCACATTAACCAACACAACAACTTTAAAACCTTCTTAGGTGCCCTGATGCTCCTGTTCAGGTACGAAACTTTTATTTTATGAAAGTTTTTTGGGGGGAAATTAATCTGAATAATCATTATTCTGAGCCCTTATGTTGCATTTGTATTAAAGCAGGGCTCTCATTTGTAAAACATTATGTAGGGTCTATGTCAAAAGTGTGTGTAAACCTGAAATCCAGATTTATGAGTTTATGCAAGTAATTCCTTTATAGGTCACAGCAGAGCCTCAAAGTTTGCACTCAAGGGCCCGCCTCAGGTCCGACCCACATTCAACCATAACTGGTCAATGCAAAGTGCCTTAATTTAAGTGATGCTGATCAGCGTTACTTTATAATTAATAACAGCAACCATGGAGAAAAGAGGGGGAAAATGCAATTTCACCAAGGATGTCATAATGGATGTCATAATTTATGATGCTGTTGGATGTCACAATTTCTGACATCCACAGTGATGTAAAAAAAGGTTTTCCCACCCACAGTGTAGGGAAATTTGATGTTTATAATGCCACCCAATGGGTGTTAGAAAGGCACCCATTATTAGCTACGGTACTGATTTGGCTTAATCATGGCCAGAAAAATTAAGGTATAAAATAAAACACAATAGAATTACATTAGATTAAAATTAAAACAGATGAATAAAAAATAAAATTGCGATGACATTCTAGTAAAAAAAAAAGGTGAGCAAAAGAAATTCAGTCAGGTGTTTTCTTGTACTTCAAAAACTTTACCTCAAAGTCCATTTTTATCTATTTGTATGATTCATACAAAATAAAATAAAATAAAAAAATGTAACGCTCATCAAACATGACAATACAAATGTTATTTGAATAATTGTAGCTCTAAGTTTGTCAATTGTTCTGTGGTCATAAAAATATCCATTAAACTTTTTATTCTTGATAATTCACCCTCTGAGAAATGCAATGCTCCAAGCAAAGAGGCGCCATTTGTTCTTTCATCACAGCAGCATTTCCAGGGACGACCAAGGAGAGAAAATGTGTGTGAACACATCAGATCGATTCACAGCTTTGATGTGAGAATCAAATTGACCAGAATAACTCCGAAACATGATGCCAGAGATACCGTTGTGCTCGGCTCCTATGTCATCATTTTATAGGCAAATTTTTACAAAATGTAAAAAAAAAGAAAAATCCAAACATTAAAGCACCACTTTAAAACCTACTGCAAGCCTGACATTTAGAATCATAGCTATAATGTGGATCTTCCTTGATGTTTGGGTTGAACTTTCCAGATGGCAGACGCGATAACGTTGATCAATCTGTGATTTACACAGTGGGACCTAAACGGCTCCTCGTATTTTGTGATTTTGTGTAACCAGGAGTGCAACGGGGGAGTCGTGGCAGGAGATCATGCTGTCGTGTCTCGGGGGGAAGCAGTGTGAAACGGACCCCTCGCTTCCCCCTGCAGCCCTGACGACGGACCAGAAGGAGGGCTGCGGCTCAGACTTTGCCTACTTCTACTTTGTCTCCTTCATCTTTTTCAGCTCTTTTTTGGTAAGTCGAGATGTTTGTATGTTGTTTTGGGTGGAGGCAGCCAGAAAACTTTTGAGTTTCTAATCTTCTCCTGTTCCGTCTAGATGCTGAACTTGTTCGTGGCTGTGATCATGGATAACTTTGAGTATCTCACGAGAGACTCGTCCATCCTGGGTCCACACCACCTGGACGAGTTTGTCCGAATCTGGGGGGAATACGATCGAGCGGCCAGGTCAGTTTGCACTATTTACATGTTTGATCCCAGTTTGTGCAGACCCTCTAAAAAATGTGAATTAAATATACTTATGGTCTAAAGGAAATTCCTCATCTCCCATCTGATACAAGTAATCAGATTTTAATGTTATTTACATCTAAATTCAGGAGTACAAAACCTCAAGTGGAAAAATTGTTTGTGTGGTAGACCATTTACCATTTATAGCAGCGATAACTTAGAGTAGACAGTTTACCTATAACTTTTTCAGCCTCCCCAAATGTTAAAAAGGAATTACATTATTGGTGTCAACTTGTAATTTACAGTGCTGTGTATGAAGCATGGATAAATCATATTTACTGCTCACAAGTTGTTCTGAAACAAGCACTTACTTCCCAAAACTCTCTAATCAACAGTGTAAACAATGGCCACAGAAAAACAAACCATTATCGTGGAAAAGCTCTGACCAATCTGCTTTGTGGCAAAGACAGAAAGAGCAAACGAACAACAACCAAATCCCTGGAAGTGGATTTTGGAAACTTCAAGCAAGACAACCAACTATAGCAGTTTCAATTTAATGAGGATGAAACGTTCTTATTCTTTCTAAACTCTCCTCGTTTTTCTAAACGGAAAAAGGGCTAGAAAAAAAAAGAAGCTATTTTGAGTTTTTGAAATACATTTTCTAATATTTCTAGAGGTTATTTGAACAAGATGATATAACTGCTAAGAAATTAATCAAATGTCCTAATCAAAAATAAGTAGATTTCACAAAAAGGATTGCACTTAAGAATCGTGGAGTCATTCTCATGTGTTAGAGAAACGATGAAGTTATTCAAAAACATTTTATTCATTCCTGTAAAACTTAACTCCGTAAGCAGTGCGTTGATAGTCACAGGGGCGTACTACATGACTACTACTTTATTTCCACATTTCCTGAAAGAACAGAAGTTACAGAAACCTCTCTTCTCCTACAAACTGAGTCTTTCTCAATATCTCCAGTTCTACTCCTAATCAGCTTTGCTCATATTTTATTTGCAAGAAATAATTTAATTGGATACAAAATGCCCCTGAATGAGTCATCAAAATGTTTGAATTGTTCCCACTGAAAGTCAGAAGTATCGATAACAAATATTGGGCTGTGCTCAGCAACATGCTGGAATATGAGCAAAGTCCACAGCGAAAACTCAAAAACTTAACAAAGTATTTTTGGTCGAGTTTTCAGTGCAAATATCTCGTTACACTTGAAATAAGACAAAATGAACTTACAAAATACAGGAGCTTGTTTTATGTAAATAATTCCTTAATATCAAAGAAAACATATTAGTTCCACTGGTAGATTATTCAAGACATTTTCCCAAATTAAAGGTGAAATAATCTGCCGTAATGGTGCAGTAGAGCAGTGAAGGTTTATACAATCTCTCTCTCTCTTGTTTTCTTTATTTGTTGTCCTGAAGACAGTGTACATCCTCGACAGCAGGATCAGCTGTTTGTCGTCTCAGGATGTGTGAAGCTGTCCTTTCACAACTAAACGCATTAGTGTGCATTACACTGAAGTTCTTTAAATGACTATTTAGCCAAATATCTTACTTTTAAAGAGGACTGGAGGGAAGTGTCAAGACATTATAGTATTGAGTCAGGTTCTCGTGTCTTCTGGTCATCATACTGGCTGATCTCCAAAGAGCTGAGATCTGCTCGTAAAGAAAAGTTACACCCCTTCAATGTTCCAAGATGAGAAATATGTCAAAAAGCATTAAAGAAAATAACACCGGGCGTAGCAGCTCAACATGCAAAGAAAAGTTACCAGAATGTGACGATGTTTTATTGTTGCAAAGCAAGACAAAGGCAGGAAAAACTTACCTGAGGAGCATTACCTTAGAGACCTAACATACTGGCACCCCGCCCAGGAATTTAAAGCCTTCTCTGACCTAGTCTGCCTTATAATTCACTGTAGTGGAAAATTAATCGCCTGACATTACACGTGCACTGTGTCAGTAAGTAAATATTGCTTTGTATTGTATTTCCATGTAAAGTTAGTTTACTCACAATTACGCACCAGATGGTCCCTAAAATTCCCTTCAAGTTAATGTTATGTTGTTGGAAGGGAAGTCACAATGCTGCCACACAGTCTGTTGCTCATTTGGCTCAGTCACTGAGAGAAAACAAGTCGCTGCTGCAGCTTAATTTTATGGGTGAGCATAAAGGAGGAACATTTGGGTAGAGTGCTAGTTGGTTTAATTTAACGAAACAGTACATTTTCCGAGCAGAGAAAGTTTATTTTTCCATAAATTGACACCCTGACTGGTCCAGATGGTCTGGCTGCTGACTCCAGTAGAGCAGTCTGTCGGAGCAGTGGCACGATCTGTGTGCCCTTGTTGCTTGGCCGTGGTTTTTCCTCTTCTTAAATTCATAATTTGAATCATTTCATAATCCACATGTTTGCTTTCACAAATCTCACCCATGTTTCCTTGTGTGGAAGAACTTTGGGGGAAGGAAAAGTGCTCTATTCCTCACTTACTGTGTTGTCATATCTCAAGAATATACTCTGACAGTTACACATGGCATCACCTTCCACATAATTTAATGCTCTTTCTGTTATACCAGGCCAATCTCTAAAAGCTCATGTTCTGTCAAAAAAGTGTTATTATCATAGCTTAAAATATTTGCTTTGAAAAAAATGGAAAAGCAGTTTGTTCTTTATTTATGTTTTCTATATTTTCTGAGTGTGAAATATGATAATTGCTCTAAATCAAAGTAACTATGCAGCTACCAAAATTCCCTCTTAGTAAAATGATATGAATCAGAAATTAAAGTGAATGTTTTTTTTTGTTTTGTTTTGTTTTTGTTATCCAGGTTGTTATGTTTAAACTTAAAGAACAGAGCCTTTTCCATCCTTGTTGTGTTCTCTATAATGACATGTGTGCTCTCTCCAGCGGTAGGATCCATTATAAGGAGATGTACAAAGTTGTACGCACTATCTCACCTCCTCTGGGCTTTGGAAAGAACTGCCCCCACAGGGTGGCTTGCAAGGTTTGGTTCCCCCATGTCAGCAAGCGTCCCTTTGGCCTCTTTTACGTGGAATCCTTCCTCACTTCCTCCTTTTCCTTTTTTCACATCCCTTCACTGATTATCACCCCCCCTGCTCAATCTTCAGGGATGTGTTACTCAGGATAAAGAATGACAGTGCTTCAGTGTCAGGGTACTAAGGCACAAAATGTCCCTCATTTGCTTGGAATCACAGTGGGAACAATCTTAGTTTGACTAGACGCCCAAAGTTGGCTTTTGATCCAAGCTGAGGGAGTTTTGTCTCTCTCTACCTTTTGGATCTGGGGTTTATGTGTCGGCCAAATGCCACATATGCTACAGAAGGTAAGTATGTCATTTTTTTTGGGACCAGATCCAGAGAGGCTGTCATTTCTTTGCTGATCCTGTTGAAGGACTCCTCCTTTCCTATGTTTCTATGCTGTGTGATTGGCATAGAAAAAATGCACTCCGGTTTATTTATCCTACTTTGCTCTCTCTGTGTTTTGTGATGCCTTAAAATAATTTTTCTCTTTTATATCCTCCATTCCTCTTCCTCTCTTGCCACCCTTCACCCTCTCCTGTGCTACTTTCCTCCACCATCCTTTGGGAATGCACTCCTCTGATTGCTCCACCCTTTTATTAAATTTCCCCTCCAACACCATCCCTGTCCCTTCTCCCTCCTCTTCCTCTCCCACCCTCTGTTTTTTTTAACCCTTTCTTCCTCACCTACATCCTCATGGCTACCTGGCGCCCCCAGTGGTCGTATCCATTACACTGACATGTATGAGATGTTGACCAACATGTCGCCACCTCTAGGCCTGGGCAAGAAATGCCCCTCCAAGGTGGCTTATAAGGTAGATCAAACATGAGAGAAAGGGTGCTGCCGTGTATTTCAGTCACCAGAAATAAGCGCAGTGAATCTTCATTTGTGTGTCAGACATCAGAAAAGTAAAGCATCTTTTGTGTGAATTGTAATACAAAGATTCGCTTGTCAAAGTATTTGTCCATCAGCGATAATTTGCCTGTTTGCTTTGCATCTTGGCAGAGAAATAAGACATCATTTCTGTTTGCTGGTATCTGACGAGAGACTATCCATGTTAGCTCTGAGGCAGTTTGAGGTCATGAAAGAGAAAAGTTGCTAAACATCTACATGCCTGATGCCATCGTCAGCTGTCCTCTCGCCTTTCCTGCATACTCCTCAGCCTCCTGCGTTGCCAAGTCTGCATGTGCATGCGGCAACGGACGTGTGTTGCATCGGTTTGTTTGTTGTTCCAATGTGTTCCAGTGTGGATTATATATATATGCACGCTCAATTGCAGATTTATCTCTTTTATGGAATAAAGCTTGCAACAAGCTAGATTTTTGTTTTACGAATTACAAGAGAAAAAAGGAAATTATCTCTAAATTGTCTTGATACTTTTTGTAACATAATGTAGCTTTCTAAGAGCAATGTTTTGTTTGATGTAGCATAAAATCATAAATTATCAGCAACATGTGTTTTATTCAGTTAGCTTTTTCTGGCCCTATAAAGTTGTAATCACCAAAATTGAATTTTAGCTATTTAATTCAAATTACTCACCATGCTTCTCACAAATTGATCTTAAGAATATAATTGACAATTTTGTTAAATGTTAAATATTTGACCACTTAGACCTTTTACGCTGGTTGCCTTAAAATCATAATTTGACTGATTTTACAAGAGTTTTGCAAAGCTCCAGTCAGCCAAATTTTATTTGATTCTAAGAAAACATTTCTACTTTGAAAGTGTTAATGTTTTATATAGTTTATATCTTAATAAAAATATACAAATACTGAGGTGTTTATGCATCACAGCTTTTGCTTTTTCACAAGACAGATTATAGCTCACTTTTTTATTTATTTATTTATTTATTTTGCACTACAAAACGTGGGAGTTACTTTTTTTTATCTAAATCATCTAAAAATAAATAGCAGTTGTTTAAAGCTTGATATTTAGACACTTAACTGATACTAGAAATAACTTATATACTCTTCTTATTGCAGCAATTACTTCCACACTGGAAAGTGTTGTTGTTTTAGAGATCAGGGATGTGGAGTCAAGTGATCACATTTTTATCTTCTGCCTAATCAAGACCAGTCAGGGATAAAATCTATCAATCTCTTACCACCAAGCAATTTCCTAAGGCATGTATTTATATATGAGAGTGCATGCACACTTAAAACTTTCTTTCCTGTAAAAATTTTTTTGATTTTTTTTATTTTTCTCCTACACAGGGAAATAAGTCATTGTTCTCTTTGTAAAGAAGTGAACATTTTGTTACATAAAGGAGAGCAAGCTTTAGAAAATACCAATAAATCTGCATTTATCGTACACCGTGCGGTGTGGTGTTCCATATCGACGTACTGAGTAAACTCTCTGTTTCCATCAGAGACTTGTCCTGATGAACATGCCTGTGGACGATGACATGACGGTCCACTTCACATCCACTCTCATGGCTCTTATTCGCACTGCGCTCGAGGTCAAAATAGCAAGAGGTTGGTCATAATCTTACACCTGCGTGATAAAATATCACATAAAGCTTAAAATCTTGAGTTTATCTCTAAGCTTTTGTTTCTGCCTTTTCATTGTCAGGAGGAGAAGATCGAAATCAAATGGATTTGGATCTGCAGAAGGAAATTGGAGTTATCTGGCCTCACCTCTCCCAGAAGTCGCTGGACCTGCTGGTTCCAATTCACAAAGGTAAAAATCCTCACAGTAACCTCTACTTAGCTGTATGTCAAGAAGACATCAGCTTATTTTTGTTTCATGGATAAATAAACATGCTTCTAAATACATTTGTCTGAATGGCTAATTGTTATTGTGTGACTGTTTCTGTTTCCTCTTTCACAGCCAGTGACATGACTATAGGAAAGATATATGCTGCCATGATGATCATGGATTATTACAAGCAGAGCAAAGCCAAGAAGCTGCGCCAGCAACTGGAGGAACAAGTATTTATGTTTTTTTTTTATCTTGTTCTAAGGTTTGGTTTGAACATCTCTGTGAATTTGTGTTTATATTTTCCGATGTTATGATTGATGTCCACTTCCTGCAGATGCTAGGTTCGACAAGCTATACATTTGTAAAAATATCTGTATTTTGGGTAAATCTTATATTGTAATGTGGACACAGCTGATGGGAAAAAAAAAACATTTTAAATGTTAAAGTGAATAATGAGTGCATGGATTCACAAATCAGACCTTGTCATGAGAAAGATAAACAAAAAAAGACCCAAATGCTGGTGAAAAACCCTGTCGTACAGAATTTAGTCAAGATTTCCTGTTAATTTTACTACATCTGGTGCACATGCTTAAAATATCCTAACATTCTGAGGCTGAAACAGGAGGTTTTCTCTCCTACTCAGTTCAGTGGAATTTCACCCTAACAGCAGCCTGCAAGAGTCTAAATAATAAATAATAATTAGAGTTAGAATAAAGCCAAATACAGAACACTAAGGGAAAAAACTCATACTCACTGTGAGGCATGGAGGTGGAAGTGTCATGGCTTGGGAATGCCTTACAGAACTTCATCACATAATATATCAGGGGCTGGTTAAGGAAAATAAAACTGCATAGACAATAAAACTAAAGCTAAACTGGACCCTTACATATTGCAATGACCCGAAACATAACAGTAAATTTACCAAAAACTCACTGAGAATTAAGAAATGTAGAGTTCTGTAGTGATCCTGATCTCACGAGATGCTGTTTGGTGGCCTGTTATCAGGCTGTACATGCAGGAAACTCTTTAAACATCACAAAGCTGGCGGTGAAGAATCAAAAGGCAAAGAGAATAAGAACAGCAATTAGATTATAGGCTGTCCTGATTTAAGTTAAAATAAAAATGTTTGTAAATATGTTAAGGACAAAACAAAGATTTTTTTTTTTCTTATCAAGAGTAATAGTCAAGATAGAAGCCAGAAAAACGGCAAAAACATCAAAATTCACAGACTGATAAAATGTGATGTTGGTGTAATTTTCTGCACTGATTCATCCTTAGCCTCAATTTTTATTGGCCATGTTACATTAAGCACAAGGAATCTCTCTGCTGTGGATGTTTTTAATTCCCCCAGCTTTGAGTGGAAGGTTAGTCGGTAATGAAGAAACACAGTTCAAATCAATGAAGCAAGGACATGAGCTTGCTTATTACATCTTGCCATTGGTGTAGGTATTTTAATTTCCCACTTGTACTTCTGTCTCTTCTTAGAAACACGCCCCCATGTTTCAGCGTATGGATGCTTCCTCTCTTCCTCAAGAAATCCTATGCAATGCCAAGTCCCTGTCATTTCTCCGACACAGTGCCGGATCTGCTCTGTAAATATTCAGCTTTCATTCCTGTAGCATCTTTTATGTGTCCTGTATCGTTCTCTGGTAGCTCCTCTGCTCTGTTATTTTTATTTTTTTTATTTTTTTTTTAACCCTCATCAGCACCAGAGGAGGGTTTGTGGCACTCAGCCCCATTTCTCCACAAGAGATGTTCCTGCAGCCGCGGCCTCGCTCCAGAGAAGAGAAGATGGAGGAAGAGGATGAAGACTATCATTCACCATACCGCCTGTACCCCCATCCACATCACCACCACCACCACCATCATCATCATTTGCATACACTGGTAGGTGTTCAGATGTGCCTCAGCTGAGACAGTCCCTTAAAGTTGAGGTTAAACCTCTACATGTTCACAGCTTGGGATTAGATTTTCTAGCCTAACTCGTCTTCAATCTTTGCTAACGTATCCCTGGCTGAATGTGATTTTATTTAAATGAAGATCAAAGAGGGCAAAATACTAATGCTACATTTTTTTTTATATTTATTTGTAAAATGTATCCTCTTCTTTCCACTTCACAATACTGCTTTGTGTTGATCTGTCCTGTAATATGCTACTATAACACATGATTGTAATGTGACAAAATACAATATAAAGATTTATGGAGACTGCTGTACGGTGGCGTATATTAGGTTAGACTCAAAGAGGCTGGGATTTTTTTTTTTTGCTGCTTCCGCAACTCCTCTGAAGAAATACTCTATTTTGTGTTGTTTGTGTAGGTGCCGGAGGTAGTGGAGTACAGCCATCTGATGCAGCAGGCCAGGCAGGACCAAACAGTTATTAAATCACCGCAGCGCACTGCATCTATCAGAGCATCCTCCATGCCCAGGCTGGCTGTTGATCCACAGGTAATGAAAAGTAATCACCTGCACTCAGTCCTAAATCCACTGCAGACCGAATATGTGCTGTGAAAATCAGTGGCCAAATAAAATCCCCAGCTGCATTTAGTGCCTTCATATTTACTGCCCCGCCGCACTGACGAGAAATAATTGACCGCAAAATCGAAGCGGCTTTCGAAACAAGAAAGACAATATCACTGTTTGGTGTTGCTGTCGGCTACTTGTCTGTCTTTGGGTCGTTTCACATGCATGAAGGCTGCGGTGTCAGAAGACGGGAGGCTGATGAAGCGCTCCTTCTCCACCATCGGAGATCAGTGTGTGAACGGCCTGTGGCAGGAGCAACACTCTCTGGAGAAAATCAGCCCTGATGGCACATTCAGAGCTCGTCAAAGGAGCTACAGAGGTTACTTCAACCTTTTCCCAAAGATAAAATGTTATGTTATGTTTCTGATGTTTTGTTCAGAAGAATTACATCAGACAAAAAAGGAAATGACCTTGGCAAAAAACATTCAGTCAATTTTTTCTCTTTAAGCACAACATTGAAAGTTTATGCATGTTAAGTATTAGATTTAGCTTCCAGATCATTGATTATTTTAAGTTCAGTTTATTATTTTCATTATATTAAAAAAAATCTAATTTTTATTGTTAAAAATGCATAGATAAATAGACATCAGCGCTTTTATGCGTTTGGAAATTTACCTGAAAGGAAGAACGTGTTATTAATTACTGGAGGCTGAAAGTCACATTGAATTAATGACTGTTCAAAGGTACAAATATTTATTTTGAGTGAAATGTGAACTATCACTTCCAGGTCCCAAAATCAGCCCCAGAGAAACAAGCAGTCACGAGAGAGGGAGATCAAAAGAGCGGCGCCACCTGCTGTCTCCTGATGTGTCCCGCTGTAACTCTGAGGAGCGAAGCAGGGAGCCGTCCTGCGAGAGGAGGCAGTCCCGCTCACCGAGTGAAGGACGCGTGCACAGCGTCCAGAAACAGGTGGGAATCCAGAGCACATGATGAAGATGACTCCCAGAAAGGAGATCTTTGCATATCTTAG